GTACAATATTCTATCCACTATCATATGTTATGTTTGTAAAAATGTACTGTACAGCGTACAAGTATCCCCAGTACAATACAGCACTTCTACAACACAGTTTCACTCTAACACAATTTGAGAAATTTTCTGTACAAAATTTCATACATGACTTTTAAGTGGAAACTCTTTTTTTTTTTTTTTTTTTTCCTCTTTTTTTCCTCAAATTTGTCCATGGATTCTAGAATATTGAAATTTTTTATTTATTTTGTTCCTTTTGTCAGGTTTACTTTAATGAAAACTGACTGCAATTTTTTCTTTCTTGTTGTAGCTTTTCTATCAACCAGTGTCATCATTGCTTTCAGACTTTAGCCTTTAAGACTGTCGTGTATTTTATTTTTAAACATTCTTATTAAACTTTTTTTAACTGTAGGTAAGTAATCATTCATAAAAATGACAAACAAAATACAGCAGTATCTTGGTACTCTAACAAAATAAAGATGTTGCTAATATTTCTGATCAAGATCAACAAAAAAAACTCAGATTACAATACTTTGTAAAAAGAAAATGCCCTTGTTTAACTAAAATTAATATTAATACATAATTTAGTACTTTTAACTGTGATTGTTATTAATTATTAATGTTTTAATAAACATATTTCTCTTAATAATGAAAAAGAATAGTATACTTTTGTTAACTTTTGGAACCTAACTACATATTTTGTATTAGCCCTTTTTTTGTATAATGTGGATTCACATAACTCAGCACTTTTTCAGAATATAATTACCATGTTATATGAGGGATACCTTATTTATCAAAAGAATAGATTGAGTATTATGTTGAAAATGATCAAATTACTCTTTGATAACAGTTTAATTTTCTGCAATTTATTGCATTTACACACAAGTTTATTTAGATCTTTTTATAAATCAATATTTTACATCTTCAATGACTGATATTTTATTCAAAAATAATTAAAATATCATTTAAGTTAAATTGAACACCTTATTTTGGCAGATTGTCCAGTGTGTCAGTCTGTCTGGGGAGACCATGAGATCGGATATTTCCATATGGTAAAAATTGGCATGTTGATTTTTCCCAGGGGATACTGGCATGTCTGTTTTTAAGTGAGATTATATATTCCTCTTTAGAGGGCATATTAAAAACTGAATGAGTTACATCATATAAAAATGAACAAGTTTTTATTCTAAAACTACGAAACTGTCAGCATTACATCAAAAATCACAATTATATATGTAATTTCTTCATTTTGTCTTCCTTCTCACAATGTAAAATACTCATGGAATGCAAAGTGCTTTTATGTTTATTTTGTTTTGATTAGTTTCAAAAATGCAAAAACAACACATTAAATTTCAGAAATTCTCTGTAAATTATCTCAACTTACACCAATTAACATCCCTTTGTGTGAAATTTGAGAGGAAGATGTTATTTTAAAGCCAGGGTAGGTGTTCAATGTAGCCCTGACTGACTGCTGCTACTACTACTGCTAATGTCAATAAGGTTTATTGTTTTATTGTCCTGTAAACAAAACCTTTCTTCCTGATTTTAAGTCAATCAAATTATAATGTTATTTTATTGAACTTGGAAGAATTTTTTTAACGTTTAATTAACAACTAGTTCTGTTAGATCTGATTAATTTTATTTTTTAGTTGCAGTTTACCTGGCACGTTGGTCTCCTCAATCCTCATGCCAGTCAATCCTCAAAAACACAGTATAATTTTGATAGTTATTAAGCAACATAACTCATATATAATATTTAAGTAGTTGTAAAAATAATTTTCAATTCCCTTTTTAGTGCCCAGAAAAAAAATTTTTTTTAGGAAAGGAAATGATTTAACAACCACTTAACTTCTAATTTTCTAATTTACACTTTTAATCTTTTAATATTGCTTATCTATATACAGTGAAATTCTGTTAACTCAGCTGGCATGCCAAGCTTATCATGGGTGCATTAGACCGGAAACCCCAGGTTACCAGCATGCTGGTTAAACTACGACTAAAATATAAAAATTTACACAACCACTCACAACTGGATAAACTTGATAAATAAAAAAAAGTCATCAAAACCAAATAAATAGCAGAAAAAAGGAGAGAGAGCTAACATTTTCACCTGTGTTGAATGAACATCATCAGGCTAAATGACCCCACATCTGTTGAAACAATGGGGGATGGATTGCCATACATGTGTGAAGAGAGGGGGAGAGAATAGTAAGTTTACAATTCATAGAATAACTTCCATGCTGGGAAGGAATCTACATTACTAAAGATAATGGTGATATATTTGCCAGCAGCCTTATAAATTTCAACTTGCTCTAAATGTCTGAGATGTACAAATGGATTTGTACAGTTTTACACACAAAGATATAAAAAAATTGTATCCAGGAGATTGAAAAATTCCTGCTATCTGATAAAGTGTCATATTTGATAAACCAACACCAAGTCAGTCCCAATGATGCCAGATTAACAGAATTTCATTGTTTAAAAATTTACACTTTTATATTGCTTAAGTGGTGGTTAAATTTTCTTTCCTAAAAAATTGAGATTTTTCTTTCACTCTTTCTATTCTGACCTGGGCACTAGTAAGGAACTGAAAATGATTTTTACAACCACTTAGGAAATAAAGCTCAGTTGTAATAGAAATGAATATCATTATAAAAATATTTCTCCATAATATTTTGATTACTTTATATGAATGTAATTAAAATATACAATGCAAATCATTGAAAAATTGTACTACTACAGCATTTCTTTACAATAAAAAAGTTCCATTAAAATTTTAATCTAAATATGCATTATGGAAAATTATATATATTGATAATTTTTACAATTGATTGCTACTTTCTAGCATAAATATTTAAGATATTTGAGATAATTTTTATATGTTAACTGTAAAATAACCCTAAATTGAAAATATGCATTCAGCACCAGATAAGGATACGAACTCTGTTTTTAATTCTTTTGATAGAAGAATCAGTTTTATTATTGTTCTTTTAATTTTGATGCATTAAATGAAGAATGAAAAAATAAGTTAATTTAAACAAGTGTCATTTATAATTTCAAATCATAATAATATTGTTGATAAACATCAATGTAAATGATTAGTATACTAATTTTGAAATATAAACAACTTAAACCTGATAGTTACATATTAAAGCCAAACGATTGCCAGATTAAGATTTTGAAGTTCTGAAATTTGTTTTTCTGCAGTATTTAACACTGATAATAAATCAAACAGCTAAGTACTTGTGCTATGACTTACTGGTTTTTTAATGTTCTGAGTTCAAAATGTTGTAGTGTTTTATAAGCCAATCAAATAATAATAAACATACAATAGTTAAATAAATTCTTTTATATAAATTAGTTATCAAAAAATACTGTATACAGTAATACCTCGACTTACACTACCCCGACTTACGCAATTTTCAAATCTCGTCGATTTGTCTTTTGTTTGAGTGCCACGCAACTCTTGATTACTCATTTCCCCCATACTATTGTTCAGCTTACATGTTCGGACGTGTAGCGCGGAATCGACACATAGCTACAATTTATTTTGTGTTATTTATTTCTGTATTTGTTATATCTACAGAGACTCGACAGACTCTATGTGGTGATTTTTTGTAACAATCAATGAATCAAAAGACGAGATAAGATTAATGAAAACATTTATTACTTTACGTACATCCGTCTTGGATTTTACACAAATTGAGAAATTATACCCCGACTTACGCGAATTCGACTTACACGGTTATCGCTCGGTCCCACCTATCGCGTAAGTTCTGGGTATTACTGTATTTGAAATTTTTAATTTTTTGTAATTTACATTTATGTTATAGAGAGATTTTCAGAATATAATGCTGAATTTGAGAAATTAAAAGCTGAAGAACTTCATTTGAAGTCAGGTAAGTAAGTACTTTTATAAAGTTTTTTTTGATAATGTTGACATTGGAAACTTTTCAATAACAAAATAAAGATGGTAGTAAAAAGAAAAAATTACTTGTATCTATCTAATACATCCTATTTTAAAATTATACATATTCACAATGTAAATAGATGTTTTAATTAATGTATTTGCTCCTCCTCCTATTTCAATGATAAGACCAGTAATGAAGTAAATCATAAATGGATGAGAAGGATAAAAGACCTTTTTAAATGTGATAATTTTAAAATTTATAAACTTTTAAAAAATTTTTAAATGAATTTCTTTTGGAACTAACTGTATTAGTGTCCTCTTTGTAACTAATATCAATAAAGTTTAAATTCATTCATATTGTCTCCTGTGTTCCTGCATGATAAGTCTGTAAAAAAAGTTATTGTTATGTAGAGGGTATTTATTGCCCATTACAGTATTACATTTAACATTTTAATTGCTGAACCGTGCCATTAGAAAGTGTGACCAATTGTTTGGGCTGAAAAATTATTTTTTTTAATATAGTAGAGCATTGATTATCCAAATCAATTGGGGATGGGTTGTTCGGAAAATCGATTTTTCGGATAACCGATTATTTACGAAAAATATATTATCCCATGTTGAAATTCGTTCAAATCCTGGCACGTCTTTAAGTACCCTCTCATGGTCGCGCCATGCTGCCACTAAAACATGCACACTAACAAAAATAATATTGGAGTAGCCCAAGACATAGCCAAAGATTGCAGTGCCACAGCACTAGTGGAAATTTAAATTGGAAATTGAAAAGCTTTTGGTTAATTGATGTTTCGGTTGATTGATATTTGGATAATCGATACTCTACTGTACTGTAATTTCAGCCTTCATAAGTTGGGACTGACTAGATTTTTAAGTTTGATAAACTGGTGGATCATATTAACTAGCCAGTTGAGGATTAATTAATTTGCAATACTTTAAATCTTTCATAATACATATTTTGAAGATACATAATAGTTAAAACTGTAAATAATCTTAAATGTGAATGAAAATTTAATTTACATTCAGATAATTTACAGTTGTATATTGATATAATTTGATAGTAAATATTTTTGGCTATCAGTTAAGTTTCTGGATTTAAATATTTTAGTTATTAATCTAATAAATATTTAATATTAAACAAGAAAATTTAAAAATTTTTAGATAAACAGGATAAAATTGAAGAATGTGAAAAGGCAAAACAACGGTTAGATGAATATCATGAAAATATGCATAATATATTACAGCTGACTGAATCTTTAGAAGCAAAACTGAATATAGAAGAGGAAAAAACCAAAGAATATGAACGATGTATGTTATGTTAAATTACATTCTAATAAAACAATGCATTTTAAAATTATTATATTTAAAACTGATGACTTCTAAATGCAACTTTGTGTTACAAATTTTGCTTGTAATTAAGGATTTTCAGTTTAACCCATTTTGCTAGCAACTTTAATTACATTTGATTCACTGAAGAATTATGTTGGATTAAATAATTAATTCTGGAATTGGGTATATAATCAACATATCCACTCCAGAATTAATCATAAAAGTTTAATCTTAATGCAAGATTGTATTATTAACCTCATTTTTATGTAAGCTCTGTCAAATAAGCAAATTATTTTTATTAATGTTTTCCATAATAAAGGTTTATTTCATTAAAAAATTTTAACAGAATTTATAAACAAAAAAAATTTTAAAATAATATAAATAGGAAATGTAATGATATTTTCACTTGAAAGTTTCTGTTGCATTTAAACATTACAAAATGTGTACTAATGTGTACTTTTATGTAAAATAATTTTCCTTGAAATTAATTCATTCAGTTATTTTTTCATTACAATCTCAAAATATATATTTTTTTCAATGCCTGGATATAATTTTAAAATTTCTAAAAAATATGTGAAAAGTAAAAACACTAATCTAATTGAACTAAAACTAATTATATCTCTAAATCTCATCAATAATAGGACCCTCACACACAAGCTATGAAAAAAAAATCCATTATGAAAAATTGTTGTTGTTACATCAAATATAAAAAATTGGCATTGCCTGGAGAACTATAATAAAGATGCTGCAATTGGATAAAAAAAATCTAGTTATGGTTAAATAGTTATGGTAAATAGTCATATAATAATTATATGATGCATATGGGTATATCCATTAGTAACACAAGAAATCTTGTTGGATGGTTATAACATTATAGTTAAATGGCCTCAAATAGAAGTTTCAGCAATATGCTGTATTGGGCCTGAATATAGTGATGTTTTTTCCCAGTTATAAATGGGCAGAAAATTGCTCTTAGCATATGTTTGACTCTAATTAAAGTTTCCTTTGATTTCAATAACTGTCTATGGTATGTGTCATATGTTAAATGTCAGCCAAGTTGTGATCTATCATGCTGCAATCCTCAAACCATGTGTTGAAATTAAGTGTTGGGCACAATTGTAAATAGATAATCAGTCATTTGTTCAAAAATCTCCACTAAACTAAGCCAATTGTTTTTATTGTATGGTCGACTGCCCTTATAACACTGTTGATAATTCTGTTTTATAAGAATTCCATGTTGTATGAGTCACTTAGATTTTACAAATACGTGAGCCGTTCACAGCCCTGCACACGTATTTGTAAAATCTAAGTGACTCGTACAACATGGAATTCATATAAAACAGAAAAATCAACAGTGTTATAGGGGAGTCAACTGTATTCATCAGAATCAGTCAGTTTTGGTAACTCTATAGAAATTTTATTTTGGTAACTTTTATTTTACTCCTAAAAAAGTTACAAATCAACTAATCATTAAAAAATTTATTTATTTATTTTTACATAATTAGGAATTGCTGGAAGGTCACTGAAAATTTACCATGAAATTTATTCCATTTGAAAAGTGTATATTTCTATTGTAATTATAAATATCTGTATGTATTTGATAATATGTTTTAGACAGTTATAAAAAGAAAAAATGTGACAAGTGAAAATGAAAAACACAGTTTTAATTTCATTTTTAATAGTCATAGGTATGAGTTTAAATGCAATTTTACTATTATTATTTTATTATTATTAATAATCTTTATTAGCATAAAGANCACACTCTCTCTGCCAGATTTAAAAAGGGCTGTCCATTTTTTCACAGTGGTGTACGAAGGAGCAGACTCTCCCAAAACTTCATCCATGTCAGCTTTGATTTGAGATGGGGTCAACCCTTTTTTCGTCAGGTATTTTATGACCGCACGAGTCTCCGTCTTCTCCATTTTTGACAAAGCATGTGCACACTGACTATCTGCTAAGCTGTTGTGGCAAAACTTTTTGACAAATCAAGCGGAAATTGGTATCGTATTTTTAGCAAAGATGGCTGAATTATTCCCGCCAAAAATTAAATTGATCGCAGCGCCGCATATAGGCAAGGCCGCAAACTTTCCGAACAGCCCTCGTACATGTAACAAGGGATGGAAAAAGCACTTTAATATGGCTATATAAATATTTTGTCAAATTTTTTATTTATATATTTCTAAGTGTATATAAATAAAACATTTTTAAGTAATGTATTTTTCTTTATTGCAGTATTAGTTACTCAACAGTCTAATGATGAAAAAATTGTGGAATTTGATAAAGCTATTAATTATTTTCAATCAAGATTAGGACTGAAATTGAAAAGCACGGAAGGTGATTATTTGTTAATACTTCTTTCAAATTTAACTTTTGATTGTGTAATATTTACTGCATTTTATAAGAAAAGATTTAGCTACAAGATATTGCAAAAAATAACAATAAAACAAATAAATTTAGAGTTTATTTACTAATTTAAATAAAAAGAAAAAGTAAAGCAAAAACTTAAAACATCTTAAAAAAGAAGAAAATCTGATAATCTAATGTAAATTATTTCAATCATCAAAATTGATACTTGATAACAGTTAGATATATTGTACATTAATTACATTGAGATTAGTTTATAATTAGTTGATGTAAAGATTAAAATGTGCTTACATTTAAAAAATTCTCATGGTATAAATGCTAATTAACTTAACTGAAAATACAAATTAATTCTACAAAATGGAATTACTTAAAAAGAACTATAAAATTTATGATAATTTCAATTGTATCTAATATAGGGTATTTAATGCATATTAATATTGTTAAATGAGAAGAAAATGAAATAATGTAT